TTCCTAGATAAATGTAATAAAGTTGATAATTTTATCAATTTGATAATATTTTACATTTTTAAATGTAATTATACATTTATTATTGTTATAATAAAATATATTAATTATGATTGATTTACTATAACAACATTTTTATAATTATCATTGATGTATGTAATGCACAATTATTCCTGGATAAATGTAATAATTAAAATTGATAATTTTAGTCATCAATTTGATATTTAATTTAGAAAAATGTAAATATACATTTATTATAATTTTTATATTATAATAAAAATGAAAGATTATCTATTAACTATATTATCATTATGATATTGTACCATAATTAATAGGGATATGTATAATGTGTGTGTGTATATGTATGTATGTATGTGTATATATATATATATATATATATATATATATATATATATATTTATATATATATATATATATATATATATATATATATATATATATATATATATAAAATGTGTGTGTGTGTAATTATTCCTAGATAAATGTAATAAAGTTGATAATTTATCAATATCATAGTTATATTTTTAAATGTAATTATACATTTATTATAATTGTTATAATAAAAGACTTTCATTACGTTTGATTTACTATAATAAATTATAATTATCCTTGATATATGTAATGTGTAATTATTCCTAGATAAATGTAATAAATAAAATTGATCATTTTAATGATCAATTTAATTATCCTTTTTAAATTAAATTAAGCATCATTTATTATCACCAATTAACTATATTATAAATTATTAGATTTATTATGACAATGCTAGTTAATGGATAATAATTCACCATGCAGTTTTATTATAATGTAGAATTACATTAAAAAAATTATCAAATTGATAATTAAAATGATCAATTTTAATTAAATGTACCTAGGAAAAATTACACATTACATATAAAGATGATAGTATTATTTACAATTTATTATAATTTTCATTGATCTATGTAATGTGTAATCATTCTTAGATAAATGTAATAAATACAATTGATCATTTTAATAATCAATTGATGAGATTTTTTTTTAAATGTAATTATGCATGATTAATGATCAATTAACTATATTATAAATTTTGATAAATCATTAATTTATTATCACAATTAATGGATAATAATCATGCAGTTGTAGTATAATATAAAAATTATAATTAATGTATAATTACATTAAAAAAAATCAATATTATTATATTGATAAATATAATTCTCAATTTTAATTCCATTTTATCCAGGAAATATTACACATTATTTACAATTTATTATAATTATCATTGATATAATTAATGTGTAATCATTCCTCGATAAATGTTCTAGTTTCATTTTGCCACACTTCCGGTTTAAGCGTTCCAAAGGGCATGCTTTGTGCGTTCCACTGGCCGGACTTCGCTATGGTTGGCGGATGCGCCTAAGAAGGCGGGTCACCCTGAAGCTCTTTCGAATGATATGACCATATGTGGAAAGCTTTGACGTACGCGTCTCCTAGCAACCGCTGACCACGTAGCTACCTAGAGAAAAGACATGTGTCTTTTGGGCACGCGCAGATGTCGTCGCTGCGGCGGCCATTTTGTTGTAGCACAGAGGTGGGTTTAAAACCCCCCATCCCCCCGAGATTTCCACACTGCGCTCCCCAGCTTTGATCGTCAGCTTCGGCTGAGTGAGTGAGGAGGACGAATGGTTGGGGCCGCCGGGCACACTGCGCTAGAGCTAGAAGTACCAGGTAGGGCCAGAGGGGGGCGCCATTATGCTTGTGCTTCAGTCGAATTCCTGTAGGGAAGACTTGACTATGAGCTCCAAAGGTCCAGATCTTTTATAGAGGGCGGAGCTGACCATATTCTTTACCTAATCCAAATGTGGGCTTAAAACTTTCTTCGATTCTTGGGTTAAAAGAGAAATGACAGTGCAATCAGCATCTCTGCTGAACAGGCGGTGAGATAAAACCAGTTAGCCTGGCTGCCACCTAGGAGGCACTCAGTAAAGGAAGGGACATGCGATCAGGTTGATAGCACTATGTACACGGAGCCAATCGCCTTCAAGGGTAGATTTCTTATGCAGGAATTGGCCTTCCTGCATGTCGGTGGGCAGTCAGTGGAACTTGGTTCCCGGAGGTGTACCTCAATATTTCCAGTTCCGTGCCCCCCCATAAGACAGCGGCTCTGCAGATCGCCTCACCGATTGGTCAAAAAACAAAAAAGTGCAATTTATTGCCAGGAAATTCTTGATATTACATGACCAACCATTGTTACACCCTCAGATATATAATTTTACTTTTTTTTTTTTTATTCCTACTAGATGACTTTTATTGCATAGTAAAAGACGGCCCGGGCCGTGGAGCATTCCATTAAATCAACAATGGGCGCCAGAAGGAGAAGAATAACGGAGAGGATAGTGCGGCTCACCCTGGAGATCATCTACCTGCTGACCGGAGAGGTGAGGGGGATTCTGGGAGGTCACATAACGTCACTGTTATCTCTATTAACCACATGCCGCCGAGCCACTGTAGAAATACGGCGGCAGGGCGGCACGGCTGGGCAAAACCAAGTTTTAAAACGTGTGTGTTTTCAAAATAGGTAGGGGGCGCGCGCGCAAAGGGCGCCGTCGCCCTACCTGTCCCGCAATCACAGCCGCGGATGTCAGTCGCCATGTCAGTCGGTCACTACCGGCTATGTCCCAGTGATTAGCGGCAATCAGTGACAGAGAGCACAGCTGCAGTAGCTGTGCCTTTTGTCAGTTCCCTGACAGCTCCTGACACGCTGATCGGGACAGAAGAGTTTATCTGTCCAGATCAGTGTGTCTCCGTCCAGCACACACCCCCGCCCCCTAGTAAAACACTCCCCTCACACAGTTAACCCTTTCAGTGAATAAAGTTTGCCCCTTCCTCCCCAGTGCCATTAGTACAGTGTCAGTGGGTTTTTTTTGCACTGATCACTGTATTGGTGTCACTGGGGATGTCAGTGACCCCAAGTCAGTTCCCCCCCAGTGTCAGAATGTCTGCCGCAGTCCCGCCATAAGTCGCTGATCGCCGCCATAAAAGTCGCTGATCGCCGCCATAAGTCGCTGATCGCCGCCATAAGTCACTGATCGCCGCCATTATTAGTATAAAAAAAAATTAAAAATCCCAGTATCTTTCCCGCCATTTGTAAACGCTATAACTTTCACGTAAACCAATTAATTTACACGTATTGGGTTTTTTTGTAGCAAAGACATGTCGCAGAATGCGTTTTGGCAGAAATTTATGGCTAAATTTGATTTTTACATTTTTTTTTTACTGGACATGTTTTATAGCAAAAAGTCCAAAATATTGTTTTTTTTCCTCAAAATTGTCAGCCTTTTTTTATAGCGCAAAAAATTAAAAACGCACAGGCGATCAAATACCACCGAAAGAAAGCTCTATTTGTGGGGAAAAAAAGGATGTAAATTTCATTTATGTACCGTATTGCATGACCGCGCAATTGTCTGTTAAACTAGCGCAGCGCTGTATAGCAAAAAAATGGCGTAAATTACAGTATCTATACCATAGTTTGTAGGCACTATAACTTTCACACAAAGCAATCAATATACACTTATTGTGATTTTTTTTTACCAAAAACATGTAGCAGAATACATTTTGGCCTAAATTTATAATTAACTTTGAGTTTACTATATATTTTTTTATAGCTGAAAGTAAAAAATATTGTTTTTTCTTCAGAATTTTTGGTCTTTTTTTGTTTATAGCGTGAAAAATAAAAAGCGCACAGGTGATCAAATACCACCGAAAGAAAGCTCTATTTGTGTGAAAAAAAGGACGTAAATATCGTTTGGGTGCAGCATTGCATGACCGCGCAATTATCAGTTGAATTAGTGCAGCGCCGAGTAGCAAAAAGAGGCCTGGTCATTAAGGGGGGTAAATCCTCAGGAGGGCAAGTGGTTAATAAAACACAGACCTGACTGGAGAGGTGAGGAGGATTCTGGGAGGTCACATGACGTCACTCTCATCTCTATTAATAAAACACAGACCTGACCAGGGAGGTGAGGAGGATTCTGGGAGGTCACACGACATTACTTTTATTTCTATTAATAAAACACAGACCTGACCGGAGAGGTGAGGAGGATTCTGGGAGGTCACATGACGTCACTCTCATCTCTATTAATAAAAGACCTGACCGGAGAGGTGAAGAGGATTCTGGGAGGTCACATGACGTCACTCTCATCTCTAGTAATAAAACACAGACCTGACCGGAGAGGTGATGAGGATTCTGGGAGGTCATGTGACATCACTCATCTCTATTAATAAAACAAAGACCTGACCGGAGAGGTGAGGAGGATTCTGGGAGGTCACATGACGTCACTCTCATCTCTATTAATAAAACAGACCTGACCAGAGAGGTGAGGAGGATTGTGGGAGGTCACATGACATCACTATTGTTAGTTGATAATAGTTTTCATCTTTTTAGATTGTATATAAAATGAATTGCACATTATAGGATTATGGACCTTTGAAGATGTCTGGTGATCATGTGACAACCAGCACTCATCCACGTCTGTCCAGGGAATTTAGTCGTGTCCAGAGACCCATCCCAGACCCTCCACCTCCCCCACTGACACCCAAGAAAAATAACACTACGAAGATTCTGGAAGTCACCCAGAAGATCATCAATCTGCTGACAGGAGAGGTGAGCGGTGTCGGGAATTCTGGGACATTCTCCAGTAACAGACAAGGGATGTGTCTGGATGGTGACGGTGTCATTGTGTGTGTCAGGTTCCTATAAGGTGTCAGGATGTCACTGTCTATTTCTCCATGGAGGAGTGGGAGTATTTAGAAGGACACAAGGACCTCTACAAGGACGTCATGATGGACAATCAGCCGCCCCTCACATCACCGGGTAAGAGGAGACTTTATTGTAAAGGAGAGAGCAGTACGGAGGGTCCACCTAGATCCCCCATCATCTGATAAACACATAGAAACAATGTATTCAGTCAGTGTGTCTGTTTCCTACAGATGGATCCAGTAATGGGAACCCACCAGAAAGGTGTCCCTGTCCTCTGTATTCCCAGGATTCCACATATGAAGATCATACCATCTTTCACCATCATCAGGTAGATGGATCCAGTCATGGGAACCCACCAGAGAGATGTCCCCTTCCTCTGTTTTCCCAGGATTCCACACAGGAAGGTCACAGCATCCTCCACCATCATCAGGTAGATGGATCCAGTAATGGGAACCCACCAGAGAGATGTCCCCATCCTCTGTATTCCCGGGATTTCACATATGAAGATCACATCATCCCTCACTGTCATCAGGTAGATGGATCCAGTAAAGGGAACCCACCAGAGAGATGTCCCTGTCCTCTGTATTCCCTGGATTCAACATATGAATATCACATCATCCCTCACCATCATCAAGTAGATGGATCCAGTAATGGGAACCCACCAGAGAGATGTCCCCGTCCTCTGTATTCCTGGGATTCCACACAGGAAGGGCCCAACATCCCTCACTGTCATCAGGTAGATGGATCCAGTAATGGGAACCCACCAGAGAGATGTCCCTGTCCTCTGTATTCCTGGGACTCCACACAGGAACATCAGGAGACCCCTCAGGAGGATCAGGTGGAGACTCTTGCTAAGTTTCGTAGAGCAAATACTGTATATTTTGTAAGATAGTTTTAGGATCAATGCAGTAAAACTTTGTTTTCTACAGGCTGAGGACCTAATCAACATTCATGGTGCTTATCTGGAGAACACGACTTGTAATAGAGCTGATCATCCATGTAAGGAGGAGAAAAGTCCTCCAGAGACCAGAACTGGTGAGTAGCACATGCTAAATCCAGATAATAGATAGAGATTCTCCTTGTTCAATCACTATAACAATCTCTGGAATTATGTTGAAGTTGTATTACGTATTACAAGATGTTATAACTGCACGAGGGGATCGGTGATTTCAGCTCTCCAGCTGTTGCGGAATTACAAGTCCCATGAGGCATTGCAAGACTTTAACAGACATTGGCATAACTCCCAGAGGCATGGTGGGATTTGTAGTTTCATCACAGCTGGAGTGCCAAGGTTGCCTAACCCCTGAACTGCACAGCAAAAAGGTTACTCTCATTTTGGTTCGATGAACTGTGATTTCTCTGCTATCCGCGCAAATTTTAATTTCACTTCAGGGCTGCAGTCCGTAGTTGGATTAGATGAAACTTTTTTTTCTGGAACGGAATCATGAAATGAACAAAGGATGTCATATTTGTAAAGCTAGTAAGATGTAAAAGGCAATATTCCCATAAAAAGTGAGAGTCCCTTTGTTTTTATCTTTGACAGGTGGACAGAGCTGCGCAATCACCTCATGTAGACCTCTTTTGGTGGAATTCAAAACCGAAGATAACCCAATGGATCATTCTCTGGATTTAAACATCACTGCCTCAAATCTTCATCCAGATCCCACTACAAGAAGTCAACGTCTAGACCCCGTTACACCACATCTTCATTCAGATCCTACTCTCAGTCAGGGTCCAGATGCCATTACACCAGATCTCCATTCAAATCTCACTAACAGAAGTGTTGGTCTAGACTCCTTAACATCTCCTTTACATCCAGGTCCCACCACCAGAAGTCTCTGTTCAGACCCTATTACACCACATCTCCATCCAAATCCCACTACCAGATGTCTAGGTCCAGAATTTAGAACAACACATCTCCTTCCAGATCCCACTACTAGAAGTCAATGTTCAGATCCCATTACGCGACATCTCCATCCAGATCCCACTACCAGAAGTCAGTGCCCAGATCCAACTACTAGAAGTCAATGTCCAGATCCTATTACACGACATCCCCATCCAGATCCAACTACTAGAAGTCAATGTCCAGGTCCTATTACACAGCATCTCCATCCAGATCCCACTGCTAGAAGTCAACGTGCAAACCTCAATAAACCACATCTTCAACCAGATCCCACTACCAGAAGTCAGTGTCCAGATCCCACTACTAGAAGTCAATGTCCAGACCCCATTGCACCACATCTCCATCCAGATTCCACTACTAGAAGTCTATGTCCAGAACTTAGAACAACACATCTCCGTCCAGTTCCCACTACTAGAGGTCAATGTCTAGACCCCAATAGCCCCCATCTTCACATTACATCACATCTCCATCCAGATCTCAATAACAAAAGTCTAGGTCTACACGCAATAACACGACACATCCATCAAGATCATGCTACCAGAAATGTATGTCCTGACCCTATCACCCACCATGTCCATTTCGATCCCATTACCCCAGGCCTTTATCCAGATCCCATCACCCCACATCTCCAACCTGACCCAACTGCCAGAGGTGTCTGTCTAGATCCTATTACCCTTCATATCCGTCAATACCCTACTACCAGATATCTTCATCCAGGACTTCACAGTATCGATCCACTGGTTGAACAATCTGTGCATGGCTGGACCTTGTCTCACCCTGTTGCCAGTCCTGTGTTCAATAACATGTTCCCTTGCCCCGAATGTGGCAAATGCTTCACCCAAGAGACCGTCCTCATCAAACACCGCAGGAAACACGTTGGCAACATGCCTCACGTCTGTTCAGAGTGTGGCAAGGCATTCAAGCGCAAGTCGCAACTGGAAAACCACCAGAGATTTCACACGGGTGAAAAGCCTTTTACCTGCGACGATTGCGGCAAGAGCTTTCCGCTGAAGACCTCCTTGGTCAAACACCGCCGCATCCATTCTGGTGAGAAGCCATTTTCCTGTGCAGATTGCGGGAAGAGCTTCGCTTACAACTCCCTCCTCTTGGAACACCGGAAGGTCCACACGGGAAATAAGCCATTTTTGTGCCCCGACTGCGGCAAGTGTTTCCCTCGCAACTCACAGCTGGTTAAGCACCGCAGGACTCACACGGGCGAAAGGCCTTTCCCTTGCAAAGAGTGCGGGAAGTATTTTGCTCATCAGTCCATCCTCCGAGAGCACTTAAAGGTCCACACGGGTGCTCGGCCCTACTTGTGTACAGAATGCGGGAGGTCCTTCTCGCGCAAGACAGAGCTGGTAAAGCATCAGCGTATTCACACGGGTGAGAAACCGTATGCCTGCACAGAGTGTGGAAAGTGTTTTCGCCAGAAGGGGATTCTGGTGACCCACCTGAAGGCCCACTCTGGGGAGAAACCCTACTCGTGTTCTGAGTGTGGCAAGTGCTTCAAGAACAAGTCCAATCTTCTGAAGCACCAGAGCACTCACGTAGAGCACACTGAAGCAGACAATCGGCCTAATGGGCCTGGTCTTGGCCTTGGCCTGTCAAACCACAAGGATTAGCTTGAATCAGGAGGGGGATACGGCTGTTTTAGATGGCAGTCTGTCTGCAGGCAACATTCACCTGCGTCTCTCTTGGTCACTGGACTATATCCTGGTACAGGGGTGGACTGACAACTCATGGGGCCCCCGGGCAATAGGGGATCATGGGGCCCCTGTGTCCTTGCCCACACTCAAAGCACACCCAAAAAAGCCTATAAAAAAGGTACCAGGGGCATTTCATGGGGCCCCCTGCTGACCCCGGGCCCTCAGGCAGTGCCCGAGTGCTCGAATGGTCAGTCCACCCCTGTCCTGGTATAACCTTTGCCAATACAGACAATGTAAATATTCTTGGACCTTTGTCACTCGATGAGGCTTGGACCAAACCTCAGATTCCATAGCAACAATGAGATCCTGAAGGATGGATTGGAAGAATTAAAATCGAATTCGAAAATGTCAAATCGATCTGAATTCATTCTGAATAATAGCTGGTTCTATTCTTTTTGGAGTTTGGAAGATGGCTATATTCTTTCTATTTTATTCTATTCCTTTATTTTCTATTCTATTCTTTTATATTCTATTCTTTTTTTTTTATTCTATTCCATCCTTTTCTGAAATTGGAATTTTGGAAGATGGCTATATTCTCTCTACTTTCTTCTATTCTTTTCTACTTTATTTCTTTGTATTCTTTTCTGTTGTTTTCTATTCTATTCTTTTTTTTTTATTCTATTCCATCCTTTTTTTGAAATTGGAATTTTGGAAGATGGCTATATTCTCTCTACTTTCTTCTATTCTTTTCTACTTTATTTCTTTGTATTCTTTTCTGTTGTTTTATATTCTATTCTTTTTTTTGTCTATTCCATCCTTTTTTCGAAATCAGAATTTTGGAAGACGGCTATATTCTCTCTTCTTTATTCTATTCTTTTCTATTTTATTTCTTTGTATTCTTTTCTTTTTTTTATATTTTATTTTTTTTTTATTCTATTCCATCCTTTTTTTAAATTGGAATTTTGGAAGATGGCTATATTCTCTCTACTTTAGTCTATTCTTTTCTATTTGATTTCTTTGTATTCTTTTCTGTTCTTTTCTATTCTATTCTGTTTTATTTTATTATTTTCTATTCTATTAGGTTATATTCTATTCTTTTCAAAAGATGGTGATATTCTTTCCATTTTATTTTATTCTATTTGAAATTCAAATTTTGAATTTCTCGCAGGTTCCTTCATATTTTTTTCTCTGTTAGATCTTTTTTCCCTCATCGTTGGGAGCCTTTGCTATGACTCCTCTATGGCTCCTTCTCCTGGCTTCATCAACCTATAGAAGGCAGAGATGAAAGCATGCCTGTTTCAGCCTACATCTTTGACTGGACACTGGAAAGGTACTAAAGGGATATGCCTCGTCTGTAGGAATTTGGAATGCTCAACCACCATTACTTGTTTTCTTAACACACTGGCCCCTCCTGACTGCTGCTCCCCTCCCCCCCCCCCCCCCCATAATGTGCTTTACATCTTTATCATCTACCTTCACATGGGTTAGGTCACAAGAACAATAGAGTCCACTAAGGAAGTCCATGAAATAGATTTTTGGTGGATCTACTTTTTGAAGCTTGGCATATGTTCTCGAGATGAACCATCATATATCACTGATATCTCTTCATCTCCAGAACATATGCAAAGCTTCAAAAAGTAAGTCCACCAAAAATCTATTTCGTGGACTCTTACATTGTGTTGGCTCTTCCTTGAACCATCATATATCACTGATATCTCTTCAAGGAAGAACCAACACGATGTTAGAGTCCACTAAGGAAGTCCATGAAATAGATTTTTGGTGGACCTACTTTTTGAAGCTTGGCATACAGTATGTTCTGGAGATGAAGAGATATCAGTGATATAAGATGGTTCAAGGAAGAACCAACACGATGTTAGAGTCCACTAAGGAAGTCCATGAAATAGATTTTTGGTGGACCTACTTTTTTTAAAGGTCTGTTCTAAAGATAAAGAACTGTCAGTAACATATGATGGTTATGGAAAAACCAACTTTGATGGATGGAAGAGTCAACTCCATGAAGATGTCCATGAAGTGCATGAAATAGATTTTTTTTATGGACTTACCTTTCAAAGATTGGAGTGGCTTCTAGAGATGAAGAACTGTCAGTTACATGGTTGGTGTTAAAATTAGGGGTTTGAAGAA